CAGCTGGTAACGTGCGAGGTTGCACACATTCTCCAGAGCCAAGGACTAACTTCATACTACCCAGCTGCCCTGCACCTGCTCGATGTGACCTCCAGACATTACTTTCTCACAAGGCGGGGGATAACCCTATTTCCCCTTATTTCTGCCAGAACGGACCAGAGACAGGTGCATAGCACCCGAATCTCCAGATCCAAATCCCGATGTCCACCTTTACTACATGATCATCCCCTCTTTTAGAGAATACAAATGAATGACATCTTTACTAGGGTGTCTCAATATATCTATTATTATTATTATTATTATTATTATTATTAATAATAATAGTAATAATAATATTAGCAATTTATTATCATCATTAATAATAATAGTAATAATAAACCGTAATAATATTAGCAATTTATTATCATCATCATAAATACTACTACTAATAAAAATAATAAAACAGTAATAATTATATTAGCAATTTATCATTAATAATAATGGTAATGTTGTTATTATTATTATTATTATTATTATTATTATAATATAATAATATAATAATAATAATAATAATAATAATATATTCTTATTATCACCATCATTATTATTGACAATTTCACACATATAAGTGCTTATATGCCAATGTTAACCAATATTAAGTGCTTATATGCTAATGTTAGGAAATATTAGGTGCTTATATGCTAATGTTAGGAAATATTAAGTGCTTATGTGCTAATGTTAGGTAATATTAAGTGCTTATATGCTAATGTTAGGTATATAAGTGCTTTTATGCCAATGTTAACCAATATTAAGTGCTTATATGCTAATGTTAGGCAATATTAGGTGCTTATATGCCAATATTAGGAAATATTAAGTGCTTATATGCTAATATTAGGAAATATTAGGTGCTTGTATGCCAATATTAGGAAATATTAAGTGCTTATATGAGAATATTAGGAAATATTAGGTGCTTATATGCCAATATTAGGAAATATTAAGTGCTTATATGAGAATATTAGGAAATATTAGGTGATCATATGCTAATGTTAGGCAATATTAAGTGCTTATATGCTAATATTAGTAAATATTAGGTGCATATATGCTGTTAGGTAATATTAAGTGCTTATATGCTAATATTAGGAAATATTAGGTGCATATATGCTGTTAGGTAATATTAAGTGCTTATATGCTAATATTAGGAAATAGTAAGTGCTTATATACTAATGTTAGGAAATATTAGGTGCTTATATTATATTAGTATATTAATATACTTTATGTTAACATTAGCACACCAAGATTCAAGGAAGAATACCCATGACAAACAGATTTAGACAACTTTAAATCAGCCAAGAAAAAAGTATCACTCAAAGTGTAACTAAAGTCAAACCTTTTTTTTTTTCTTAATTTTGGATAGAGTGGGGACGACTCCTGGTATCACTTTGTTCAGTCAGTGTAGCCAGAGAAGAAGCTAATGCTCTGAGCTGCATTAGCTTTACTGGAAGGCAGGTGAGACATCAGGGATCTTTTAGACCCCCATGATGTCTCATTAAAGAGAACCTGTCACCAAAAAAAAAAATAACACGGGAATTTTGTCCCCCTATGTAGTGAAAAATAACATTTAGTGAAAATTTTTTTTTTAAAAAAGTGTAAAAATTGAAGGTAACACACAAGCACAAGTTTTTTTAACCCCCACATATGCGCAGGTACAAACGTAAATACATGTGTCATGGGGGCCTACGCACTACAACGCTGAACACGTTACCAATCACTGGACATGCTTGAGCAAGAGCAATAATTCTAGGCCCATTATTCATGGTTAACTCGAAACTGATGACCTGTAAGGGCTCTTAAAGGGTACCGAAGTCTATTGTCACTTCACAGGCACACGCAATTTCAAGCCTTGACATGTTGGGTATCCATCTACTCGACGCAACCTCGTATTTTATATTTATAGGCCGTGTTTGTGTGCCTTAAAACAAACTGTAGCGTATTGTGTACGGAAATTCTGCAAACCGTTGCGCTGATATTGCGTGACATTAAACATTTTAGAGGAACAACCACTATTTTATTCTCCAGGGTGTCTGCTTTCAGAAAATATATGCTCGGGGGCGGCATTATTTTAAATCGGCTTGTCAGGGAAAGGGTTAATGGATCTCTCCGTTGTATTGCCGGGAGAAATACTTTGTAACTTTTCGCTCGGGTCATCCTTCTGTTCTATAACACTGATCCGATCAATAAAAGACAGATTGAACATAGAGCTGCCGTGCCTGGTGTCAGCGAACTGGTGAATGGAAGGTATAGCATGTATACGGTGTCACTGGGTGGAGGTCCCTTGCTACTTTGTATCCAGCGCGGGGATTAGACGTTGCTAAGCAACAATCATCGTCAGTGAGTTACTGCTGGACATTTCTATGGCAGTCGCTCTCCTCCGGCGTCATCTCTTTAGGTTGAGAGGCGAGCTCGCCGATAAGGAAGAATTGCGCAGTTGCCTATAGCGAGGGATCAACTGCTCCCTTTACTTTCTCCCATCTATGGCATAGTCGTAACCCAAAAATAAATATGTCCTGTATTGCCTGCACTGGCCCTTAGAGTAGCTGCAGCTGCATTAGTTTTTCTTTTTTCACCTGGTGATCCTGCCAGTAATACACTTCCTGTCCTAAGGTGACAACACTCAAGTTTATTGTAGCTATGGAAGAACAGTGTTGTCACCCTAGGGCAGGACACCTCCTCCTCCTCTTCTCATCTCCATACATTGTGGGAGGTGTCTGGTAGTTCAGAGTGAGAATTGGGAACAATGTAACTGATAAAAGTGTACCACAGGAAGTGATCAGCTTCCTGGATTTCTGGCAGGATCAACAGGTATTTGTCGAAGGTTATCGACCAGATGTGGCGGCTGCATTACTTTTTCCTTTTTTTCAGCTTTATTTTCACCTGGTGATCCTGCTGGTGACACACATCCTGTCCTAGGGTGACAACACAGTAACTATGACAGAGCAGCGTTGTCACCTTAGGACAGAGCTACAGAACACCTCCCCGCTTTTTATCTCAGTAACACACTTCCTGTCCTAGGGTGACAACACAATAGCTATGACAGAGCAGCGTTGTCACCTTAGGACACTACAGAACACCTCCCCTCATCTCAGTAACACACTTCTGTCCTAGGGTGACAACACAATAGCTATGACAGAGCAGTGTTGTCACCTTAGGACAGGGTCACCTCCCCTAGGATCTCATAACACACTTCCTGTCCTACTGACAACGCTCACTTACTGTACTGTATCTATGGAGGAGCATAACCCTAAGACTGGACTACAGGTCACCTCCCCTTTCTCATCTACACAAATGGTGGAGGTGTTCTGTAGTCCAGAGTGAGAATTGGGAACAATGTAACTGATAGGAGTGTAGCACAGAAAGATATCAACTTACTGGATTTCAGACAGGATCAACAGGTATTTGTCGAGGTTATCGACCAGATGTGGCGGCTGTATTACTTTTCTATTTTTCAGCTATATTTTCACTGGGGATTCTGCCAGTAACACACTTCCTGTCCTAGGATGACAACGCTTACTCACTGCACTGTATCTATGCAGAAGAATCCTTGTCGCCCTAGGACTAGACCACAGAATACCACCCCATCTTCTCATTTCCATAACAAGTGGAGGTGTTCTGTAGTCCAGGGAGAGAACTGAGAACAATGTAACCTGAGAATATGACCTACAGAAGTGTAGCACAATAAGTTCTTGTCTTACTGGATTTATGGCAGGATCAACAGGTATTTTATCGGACAGATGTGGCAGCTGCATTATTTTTGTGCTTTCAGCTTTTTCATTTTGTGATCCTGCTGGTAACACACTTCCTGTCGTACGGTGACAACACTCACTGTATTGTGGCTATGGAAGAGCAGTGTTGTCACCCCCCTAGGACTGGACTGCATAAACCCCCCCCCCCAATCTCAATACCATAAAATGGGGGAAGGTGCTCTGTAGTTCAGAGAGAAATCTGGGAACAATGTAACTGATCAGAGGCCAGCATAGGAACTGACAGGATCTACAGGTATTTGTTGCAGTTATTGAACAGACGTGATGACTGCATTAGTTGACAATGCTCATTTGTGTGATCCTAGAATAGGACTGCAACCCCCCCCCCCCCTCCTTTCAACTCAGCAACATGAGGGGTGTTCTGTAGTTCATAGAGAGGACTGTGAACAATATGACTGATAGGTGCGCAGCACATGAAGACATCAGCTGATGGGATTTCTGGCAGGATCAACAAGAGTTATCAATGGGAAGTCTGCATTTGATGTCTTTTTCCTGCTTCATTGTGATACTGGGTGATCCTGCCAGTAACACACTTCCTGTGCTAAAGTGACGCCCTAGGATGGGACTACAAAACACCTCCCATTATTTTCTCTGTGGCATGGGGGAGGTGTGCTGTAGTTCAGAGAGAGAACTGGGATCAATTAAGAGGGGGAGTGCTCCAAATACTTTATTTTAAACCCACTGATGTCATCACTGGACCTCTGTGCTTCTCTATGCAATTCAGGCATATCATGGCTGGTGGAAGGAGCTTATCTACTTTTTTTTCAACCTAGTGATGTCATCACTGGGTCTCTGTGCTTCTTTATGCAATGCAGACAGACCATGGCTGGTGGAAGGGCCCGAACATCACTTTCTGAAAACATCATAGCACCCCGCCTCAATACTCCTCAATAGAGCCTTCAGCCTAGGTGCAAGCAGTGGGAGGAGTTATACAAAAAACAAAGTGATTTGATGGGTGGGTGTCAGTCTAGAGGAGTGACCATTTTAGGCAAGGTTCCTTTGCATACAGACTGCTCCTAGGTGACGCCCACATGTGCTGCTTAGCCTCAGTGATCGAAAGAACTGACATGCAATTCAGGAAATGGCTGGGCTGTGGGGACAATCAGGATAAGGAGGAAAGAGCTAGATGACTCTAGACGTCCTCCAGCCAGGAAATGAGGCGGGCTTTAAAGGCCGATGTCTGTTTTTTTTTTCCCCACTTACCTCTAGGAGGAGAGGTCCTAGCGACTCCTTCTCGATCATCCCACCGCTGCTGGAGGAGATGTCCGATTTCTGGACGTCGTCGTCGATACCGGCAGCCTTCTCTGCAGAACAGAAAGGAAAATCCAGAATAAATACAATGATATGTCTGACATTAAAGAACAGAACTCCTGTGTCAGAAATCGCCATTGTGTACCATTAAATGCAGCCAGTATAAATACCTAAAGTCCACTATTGTATCTCCTGCACAGCAGCACTCAGACTGGAAGAGGGAGGGGCATCACTTGGTGACCAAGTCTGATGGGGCCAGTACAGACCATACAAACAGAGCAACTTCTATGTGCCTATTGCAATACAGAGGAGGGGGGGGGGGGGGTGCGGGGACTTAAGCTGCAAATCAACCAGATAAAAATGAACAGTCCATTAAAAAAAGCATTAGCTGCAATATTCAGGTTCAATCCAGAGATTACCCCGCAGTACTTTTTTCTGCCACTAGATGTCCTCAATCTGATAGCTGACATTGTTCACTTCCTCTGACCCTAGACTCTCCCCCAACCTGTGACTGGACAGTGAAAGGAGGTGTCATGAACTTTTTACTAGATCACTCTGCTCTCTACTCCTGTCAGCATGCTCTTTCTAGCCACATGAATCGATTGGCTCCTTCAGCTACTTCTTCCTTTTACACTCCTATAGCCTAGAAGGGAAGGTGGATGGGGGAGGAGGAGGGAATCATGGAGTCTTAAAGCAATATTCAGATGGGCAATGGGCCACAAACTCCAACCCAGCCTGAACAGCCTCCCTAACAGGGCCCCCTCCGGATTCAAGTCCCATAACCAAGGGGAAAGAGGAAGCCAAGAGGGTGTAACTATGACGTGTGGATCCCCATAGCAAACTTCTGATGGCCTCATGGGCCACCAACCCCATCCCAACCTGAACAACCTTCCTACTGCAGCCTCCCTTCAACCCCAGGTCCCATGGGCCACAAACACCAACCCAACCTGAACAGCCTCCCTGATGGAACCCCCACCCACCCAGGCCCCACAGCTGGGGTGGAAGGAGGGAGTCAAGGAGAGTAACTATGAATAATGGAGCTCCATAGCCATGCCATGGGCCACCAACCCCAACCTGAACAGCCTCGTTACTGGGCCCCCCTCCCACCCCAGGCCCCGTGGTCCACAAACCCCATCCCAACCTGAATAGCCTCCCTAACAGGGCCCCCCTCCCAATCCAAGTCCCATAACCAAGGGGAAAGAGGAAGCCAAGAGGGTGTAACTATGACGTGTGGATCCCCATAGCAAACTTCTGATGGCTTCATGGGCCACCAACCCCAACCCAACCTGAACAACCTTCCTACTGCAGCCTCCCTTCAACCCCAGGCCCCATGGGCCACAAACCCCAAGCCAACCTGAACAGCCTCCCTAATGGAACCCCAATTCCACCCAGGCCCCACAGCTGGGGTGGAAGGAGGGAGTCAAGGAGAGTAACTATGAATAATGGAGCTCCATAGCCATGCCATGGGCCACCAACCCCAACCTGGACAGCCTCCCTACTGGCGTCCCCTCCCACTCCAGGCGTCATGGGCCACCAACCCCAACCCAACCTGAACAACCTTCCTACTGCAGGCCCCATGGGCCACAAACACCAACCCAACCTGAACAGCCTCCCTAATGAAACCCCACTCAGGCCCCATAGCTGGTTTGGAAGGAAGGAGTCAAGGAGCGTAACTATGAATAATGGAGCTCCATAGCCATGGCATGGGCCACAAACCCCAACCTGAACAACCTCTCTACTGGCATCCCCCTCCCACTCCAGGCCTCATGGGCCACCAACCCCAACCCCAACCCAACCTGAACAACCTTCCTACTGCAGGCCCCATGGGCCACAAACCCCAACCCAACCTGCACAGCCTCCCTAATGGAACCCCACTCCCACTCAGGCCCCACAGCTGGGGTGGAAGGAGGGAGTCAAGGAGCGTAACTATGAATAATGGAGCTCCATAGCCATGACATGGGCCACCAACCCCAATCTAAACAGCCTCCCTACTGGCGCCCCCCCTCCCACTCCAGGCCTCGCTCATGGGCCACAAACCCTGACCCAACCTGAACAGCCTCCCTAACGGGGCCCCCCTCCCTCCCTGGACCCCATAGCTGGGGAAGGGAAGGGGGATGGGAGTCCAGGAGTGTAACTGTGAATCATGGAGACCCATAACAAAATTCAAAAGGGCCACCAACCCCAACCCAACCTGAACAGCCTCCCTAATGGGTCCTTGCTCCCACCTCAGGCCTCAAAGCTAGGGTGGGGGGGGGGGGGAGGGAGCCCACGAGTGTAACTGTGAATCATGGTAAATAAGTACATGAAATAAATAAATAGCTGAGAGAGTGCGGGGAAGGAGGGAGTCTAGGGGTGTAACTTTGACTTATGGAGCTCCATAGCAAAGTTCTTATGGCCATGGGACCACCAACTCCAAGCCAACGAAAACAGCCTCCCTAATAGGTCTTCGCTCCCACCCTGGGCCCCACAGCTGAGAGAGTGGGGGGAAGGAGGGAGTCTAGGGGTGTAACTTTGACTTATGTCTAGGGGTGTAAAACTTTGACTTATGCGAGCTCCATAGCAAAATTCTGATGGCCATGGGACCACCAACTCCAAGCCAACCTGCCAAAAAACAGCCTCCCTAATAGGTCTTCGCTCCCACCCTGGGCCCCATAGCTGAGAGAGTGCGAGGAAGGAGGGAGTCTAGGGGTGTAACTTTGACTTATGGAGCTCCATAGCAAAGTTCTTATGGCCATGGGACCACCAACTCCAAGCCAACGAAAACAGCCTCCCTAATAGGTCTTCGCTCCCACCCTGGGCCCCAGCTGAGAGCTGAGAGAGGGTGGGGGGAAGGAGGGAGTCTAGGGGTGTAACTTTGACTTATGGAGCTCCATAGTAAAATTCTGATGGCCATGGGACCACCAACTCCAAGCCAACCTGAACAGCCTCCCTAATAGGTCTTCGCTCCCACCCTGGGCCCCATAGCTGAGAGAGTGGGGGGAAGGAGGGAGTCTAGGGGTGTAACTTTGACTTATGGAGCTCCATAGCAAAATTCTGATGGCCATGGGACCACCAACTCCAAGCCAACCTGAACAGCCTTCCTAATAGAGCCCCCCCTCCCACCAGTTCCCATAACTGCCACATGAGCTGCTATAGCTATTGTTACGCCATTGGGGAAGTCAACACCAGCACCAAAAGGCAGTGACACCAACGGCCAAGCTGATAATGTGTTGTAGTCCTGAAGCCATTCTGGGTGAAGATCATGAAGGATAAAGGGAGAACCAAGGCTCTCCAACGAGACAGAAGTGCCGGCGGCCCCCACAAAGCCACTTACAGTAATGGACTTTAATAGTAAATTTCATTACACGCCGCTCTCTTACATCCTACCCTCTAAAAGCTCTTACAGTGAACAACAGAGATGTGCAAAGAATGCATTAGTCCCGGTCTAACGCGTTCACCTCTCATGGAAAAACAAGCGGTGGGGATCCGGCGTGGCTAGCGTTACAATAGTCAACATGGCTGGTAACCTTGGAAGAATGAGGACAACTCCAGGATAAAAACAAAAACAACTTGTTTAGCCGTTGTTTTGTGCTCGTTCTGCGGCATATAATATTCCACGGCATAGCTTGTTCCTAGAAAACTCCCTGCGGCAATTTGTGAATGACTGCAGACCAGCCCACTATCCCGGATTTGCCGGGACTGTCCCGGCAAATGCGGGTCTGTCCCGGCAAATCCGGGATAGTGGGCTGGTCTGCAGTCGTTCACACATTTTTGGCTCACTGTCCTGCCAACGCTGTGTCCTGGAATAACAGCATAAATTGCAGGGATCACGGCTGCAAGTGGGTGGTCCCTGCTTATTAAGAGGCGGGGCCTGGAGAGGACCAACCCACAAAGTGGGCGTGATGGGCGATCCCTGCCTATTTAGAGGCAGAAAGCAGGCAGACAAAAAAAGCAGTCTGTGGCCAGGGTTGACCGTGTGCTGGGATTGGGTACCAGAATGCTGGGAACAGGGGCAGACTGACAACTCATGGGGCCCCCGGGCAATAGGGGATCATGGGGCCCCTGTGTCCTTGCCCACACTCAACTCAAACTGCACCCAAAAAAAGCCTATGAAAAGGTACCAGGGATATCTCATGGGGCCACCTACTGACCCTGGGCCCTTGGGCAGTGCCCGAGTACCCGAATGGTCAGTCCGCCCCTGGCTTGGAACTATGTGACCGCTGTAAGTCTAGGTTCTCACCTATGCAGGTTGTGTTTGAGCCGTTTCTGCACTGCGTTTTGCTTTGCGGTTTTGATGCGTTTTTTAATTTTTTTTTATTTTTCTTGTTGCTAGGCAGATTTCAAACGCAAAACGCAGCAAAAACGGACTACATGTTTTTCTGCAGCATTTCCATTGAACTCTATAGAACAAAAAAAGGCAACTTTGTGCCTTCAAAAAAGTCCCTGACCCTTTCCAAAAAACGCATTGGGTGAAAACGCACAGTTGTGAACGTGTCCCATAGGAAATCATGTTAAATAGTCTGTACTGCGTTTCTGCAAAATGCTGCGGAAAATGCTTAGGTCTGAACCCAGGGTAATGTTTAGTCTGAATTTGTGTGGCAAAGTAGCTCATGTGCGTTTTTATTTTTAACCACGCACAAAAAAAGTCACGCTTTCTGGCACGTTTGGAGCGCCATTAACAATGAATGACAACGCAAGCATGACGGGCGCTGTTCACGTGTTTCATAAATGTGCAAGAAATGTGATTTTACATGTGCTCAGGAAAAGCCAAATGCGAATGCAGTCGTAAAGAGACACAGTCAGCTTGTCCATGTAGGGAAAAGTGACCGTGTCTCTGCAAAGGGTCCCCCGGACCACTCAGCTTGCCTGCGCTCCCTCACCCTTCCGTCCTCTGTCATCAATGCAGATCGCTCTTCAGAGACCGAGCACATATGAATGAGCCCTAATTGTTAATTGCCAATATTAAGTGCTTATATGCTAACGTCAGGCAATTTTAAGTGCTTATATGCTAATGTTAGGAAATATTAAGTGCTTATATACTAATGTTAGGAAATATTAGGTGCTTATATGTTAATGTT